ACTCACCTCTCCTCATGTTAGCAGTGACCAATAACAGAGTTAATGCAAAAGGAGCTCAACCAGAAATTTATCAACATCACACAACAGTTTAAAAAAAGAAAGTTAAACTGAAATGTCATTTATGAGGTACTGCAAAAAAGCTCCTCAGTGGTTTCACACAGGACAATTTTTGGTGTATGGTCAAAAGCAGCTGCAAAATGAAGTCCCATATGATCAGTTTTATGGCATGACATTCATTTAGAGCTGGCTTTTGGCTTGGGAGTCCAGTTTAATTTGAGATAGATTTAAAGCAAATTAATCTTTGAAAGGCAATACTGGTATAAACACCATAATACAATCACTTATGTGATGCTTGCAAGGATCTGCATCAATCTGAGTTAGGAAGAGGGAACATCAGTTTTGTTCTGCTGTCTTCCCCTCCATCTCCTCACTCCCTCCCTCACTTCAGCAAAAGCAACAAAAATTTTCCTCCCATCCCCCTCCCCAAATTATGTGCCTATCTCTACAGCACTGGTGGAAAAAAAAAAGACTTTTATTTGGACATAAAAAGATCAAAATGAGAATCAGTGTATGTCTAAATCCCAAGAAAACCCTTGGAAATAACCAAAACAGATGCTAATCTCTATTTGCTTCCAGCCAAGCATGTCTAACACTCAGCAATTTTAAAAAAAGGTGTGAATTTACTCAATTTCATATAAAACATTCCATATACATCTCCTATTTTGAGCTTTGTTTGTGCCAGTAAATTACAGACACTGGCACAAAAATCAATTATAAGCAGCTTGAACTGACACAGTTATGATCAAATCACACTTAATTCGTGTTTGCAATTAGCTTAAACTACAGCAACAGCTGCACACTTGTGGTGTGGGGAGATGGGGAATCATTTAGATTAAGATACTCTATTGTTAATTGTGATATTTTATGTGTTGCATGCTCATTATGAACCAGACAGTGAGCAGTCAGGGTCTGCAGAACAAACACTTTTCAGGAGTTCCATAAAACTAAATTCTTCCTCCCTTCTCTGAAAGATCAGAACGAAATCACCTCAAAAAAAGAGACCCTTGAGGGGCTGGGGGGAGGAAAATGACAAACAAATAGAAATCCAAGAGATTGAGTTTAAATTTTTGAGTTATCACATATAGTTTGAAAACCACACACCAAAATCTCCACTCCAGGGTGAAACCTGTTTCCACACTTGTAGAGGTAAATATAGAGATGAGATATATAACTAAGATAAAAAGAAAAATCAAACTTCCACAAGGAATAATCTCCATGCAATGAACCACAGCACCACAGCCTGCACAAGTCACTTACTTTTCTCCGAGAGTCACCCGGAGGCTGCTCTGGAGTAAAGAAATTAATTGTTCAACAGATACCCATTAAAATATAGTTGGAAAACTAAGTAAATAACCCTGGATGACCCTTTTCAGTATCAAATATACATGATTTTTTGTTTTATAGAAAGACATTTAATTTGCACACAAAGTTGCAGCACTAGTCATACTGCAGCACATGCACAGGATCAGAGAGATTCACAAAGTGCTACTGCTTGTATATTTGACAGAAATGTAAGGTGACAATTTTTTTTTTACTGTATCTCTAAGTATTAACCTTCTGTCATGTCCCTTATTGCAGGGGGGGAGGACTTGGTGATCTTTAAAGGTCCCTTCCAACCTGAACAATTCTATGATTGTAAACACATTCAAAGATGACTCTTACATACAAAAGAAACTACCTAATATTTTTTTAATCAATAAAAATTCATTTACTCCACCTGGAAGCTCAAAATCTAGACATATTTCCTATGCTCTGTTTGTTTTTCATGCCATTGAGCAGGAATTCTGCATCCTAGTGGACAGCTTTGTTATGCAGAAGCAGAGCACAAACCTGTCAGCTCCTCCTCCTGGGGAGCCATCAGCAGTTTCAAAATCCATTTTCACTCAGAAAATTGTAATTAACCTTCCAAAACCCCAAATCCATCTTTTGCATACGAAAAAAATGTGGTTATGCTAAGCAATACAGAACTATCTTAGAACTGTTATGATTTCCAAATAACTTGCTACATCTTGGACACTTCCACATTAAATTACTGGGCTTAGACAGCTTGAATATGTGGATTTAAAATGAGATTTAATCATCTCTTTTAGTGATAAAATACACCTTTACTACCAAATTACCAAGCTTTACAGCTAAAATAAAACATTTCTAGCAATGTTATTTAACAAGAGGAAAACCTACCTCCAAACAGCTCGAACTCCCTTAATCCCTCAACAATGAACTTCTCAGACACCCACCGCTGAAAGAAATAAAAATTCTCCACATAATCAGTTATTCCATCTCGAGAAAAGTTTCTTTTCCCCTTCCCCACAAGAAAAAAAACCTCAAATTTCAATGATTCTGGTGTGGGCTGAAATTGATTTGCTGTATCACCAGTGACATTCTTATTTTGGACAAGATATTCCCTTTTTGGGCCAATGACATGCACCCAGCAACCACACAGGTGCTGCTGTTATTCCCAATCAACATGCACTTGCAATAAAGTTAATATAATTTAATTCATTCAAACAAGTTTTTATACATGCACATACAGCAAAAATAATCAGTATGCAACAACCCCCTCACACAGCCAAATAAAAGTTGGCTTTTTAGGTGTAAGAGGTTTTAAACTATTTACAAAGAGGCGGTATCATCTCTGAGAATTCAAATATTTGGGTTAATCACAAACACTGCCACGGCAGAATTTGCTACTTAGCAAAACAGCTTAATAGTTTAATAAACAGCTGATGTTGTTCAGTGCTCGAGAGGCCGGTCCTAGAAAGCACCAATGAGTCTTTAGGTGATGATGACTCAAAACTTGTATGTAAGAATTCCATTTGAATGCCTTAGAAGTGGTTCTGCTGCTGGAAATTCCCTCATTTTCTGCTGAAAAGCAGAACCAAACAAAGCTGTTGTGTTTAGCTTTGCAAGCAAAGTGAAGGAAAAAAAACCCATCAACTGTGACACAGGTGAGGAGGCTACTTCTTAAAGAAGGACTGAAAATAAGCAGCTTTATGGCCCTTTTTCTTCACTGCAAAGCCCATTAGAGCCCCTCTGCACCACACCCCAAGGAGATACAGGTGTATGAGCCAGCAATAAGAGCTTCAGTGCAGGGTTTTTAACCAGCGCTGGTTGCACACCCACCCACGTCCTGTCACCAACCCTGGAATCAGTTTTCCTGTGCCCTTATGGTGCTCTCCAGGCCCGGCCGCTCTGCACAAGCGCAAGACTCGTTCTACCGAGACACGAGGGAAGCTGAAAGGTCTTCAACACTCACCCTAATGCGCTCGGGTTTACTTACAAGGAAAGACATGGATCCGCCGCTGTGGGACACGCGCAGCAGAAAGGGCGGCACACCTGCGGGCACACGGCCGCGTCACCCGCAGCGAGCACCGAGCCGCCGAGGCCCGGCAGCCCCGGAGGGCTCCGGGACAGCGGTAAGCACCTCCCGGTACTCCCACAAAGCGCCGACACCCCCGAACTCCCGCCGGGCCCGGCAGCCCCAGGACAGCGGTAACTCCGGCGAGAACCGCCCGGAGGCCCCCAGAGCGGCGATATCCCCGGCTCCCTCACCCGTGAGGGGCCCTCCCTTACGGCCCCGGCTCCCTCACCCGTGCGGGGCCCTCCCGTACAGCCCCGTTTCGTCCCCGGCTCCCTCACCCGTGCGGGGCCCTCCCGCACGGCCCCATTCCGTCCCCGGCTCCCTCACCCGTGCGGGGCCCTCCCGCACGGCCCCGTTCCGTCCCCGGCTCCCTCACCCGTGCGGAGCCCTCCCGCACGGCCCCGTTCCGTCCCCGGCTCCCTCACCCGTGCGGGGCCCTCCCGCACAGCCCCGTTCCGTTCCCGGGTCCCTCACCCGTGCGGGGCCCTCCCGCACAGCCCCGTTCCGTCCCCGGCTCCCTCACCCGTGCGGGGCCCTCCCGCACGACCCCGCTCCGCCCCCGGCCCCTCACGGACCCCTCAGGCTGCGGCCGCCGCTCACCGGCCAGGGACGCTGCGCGTGACGTCACCGCGCCGACACGTGACGCCCGGGCGCGCTCGCGTGATGTCACGGGCGGAGCTCCCGCGAGCGGCGGGGAAGGAGCCGGCGCCATGTTGGGTCCCTCAGCGGGGCCATGCCCTGAGCCTTGGCCACATCCAGCACTGCGGGCCGGGAGAGAGGCCCACTGGAAAAGAGCTGGGGGTGCTGGCTGACAAGCGGCTGAACGTGAGCCCAGGTGGGCAGCAAGGCCAATGGCACCTGGCTTGTCAAAACATGTGGTCAGCAGGGATTGACCCCCTGTGCCAGGCACTGGTGAGGCCGCACCTCAAGTGCTGGGTCCAGTTGTCGTCCCCTCTCTTTAAAAGGATACTGAGGGAGCTGGGAAGGGGCTCAGCCTGGAGAAAAGGAGGCTCAGGGGGGCCCTTGTGGCACTGCACAACTCCCGACAGGCGGGGACAGCCGGAGGGGATCGGGCTCTGCTCCCAGGGAACAGGGACAGGAGGAGAGGGAACGGCCCCAGCTGGGCCAGGAGAGGCTCAGGAAGGACTTCAGGAGGAATTTCTTCTCAGAAGGGGTTCATAAACACTGGGATCTGCCCAGGGAGCTGCTGGAGTCCCCACCCCTGGAGATGTCCAAGCAACGACTGGATGTGGCACTCAGTGCTCTGGGGCTGGGTGACAAGGTGGGGATGAGGCACAGCTTGGACCCTCTGCGAGGTGTTCTCCAAAGGAATCAGTCCTGTGACTCTGTGGGTCCCTCAGGGACCCTGCTGTGCCCACCTGCCACAGAAAGGCCGGGGCAGATCCTCCATGTGAGCCCAGCCCAGCCTGCCCAGGGGGACACAGCTCCTGCCGCCCTCCCCAGCAGGAACCAGCTCCTCCTGCTGCTCACACCCTACACCAGAACTCACCAGCACAAAGGAGGCTTTCAGAGGCTGCTGAATGAAAGGAACACTGAGACAAGCCAAGTAAAGCAGGAGTGTTTCAATTATATTTTACTCTTCATTAGATTGTTCATTTCAATGTTTGTATTACAAAATTAGCTGCCGTGGCCCACAACTGGATGGGACTTCAGGAAAGCTGTCTGCTTACTCAAAAGAGCACAAACTAGTATTTCCTTTCAAAGAACTCTGTGAAACAATAACATATTAATCTTTAAAGCTAAATAGTGCTAAAATTTCACATAATCTACATTAGTTTTGGTTTTAAATAATTTTACCAACCATTATAAAATTAATGTATTTGCATGTATCAGGTTACAGACATTTGCATTTCAATCAGGGTGAAGTATCCCATGCTGGAACAAGGAGTTTAAGCAATTGCTGTTTCAACAGCAGCTAATTCTTATTGCCTCAGAACCAAGTTTCCATGAAGTATTGAACAAGAAAATGCAGGACATTGTTTCCCCACAAAACTGTTAAAAGTCTGTTACAAGCAACAATAAAATGCCTTCTGGACAGGAAGCATTTATAAAATGCAGAGCTCTCCCGGCGAAGTGCTTGCACGGGGCATTCACTTCATTCTTCCCATTTACATTCAAAACCCTGAAGAGATCACTGACCAGACGAAGAGGATGAACATCCTCTGAAACGTTTTCACTGGCTTGGGGAGATCAGGAATTGCAGGTACTCCACTAGATCTGGCTCCTGGCTGAAGTGAACTGGGCAGCAGCTGCTGAGATCAGGAGAGAAGGGGTTGAGGCAAACTTGAACTGTTAAAAATACTGAAGGAAAGCTGGCTGAACTGCTAACTCACCATGCACTCACTCCTGAAGGAACACTGTGCTGACATCACAGATTCCACACTGTGTTGTTAAGTTTGCAGCATCCAAACACACAAGTAGGAAATGTCCATGTATTCCATTCCCTTGGTTCTAACCATCTCTGTGTTTTACACATAAGCCAATCATGCCCACAGGTGACCTAATACTGCTTCAGGCCTTTGTTTGTAAAAAAAAAAAAAAAAAGAAGAAGATAAAAAAATCTTCTACTTCTATTAGAACTTCTATTTTACTGGGCTTAAATCCCTGAAGAATCCATACTGTGTATGGAAGGCTCTAAGTGTTGTGCCTTGATGCAAATAAATGCACACAGTAAATGTTTATTGTGCAGTTTGCCTCCCCCTAAGTTTTTCCCCTTTCCCTCACAATAACTAAAACCAAAGTTTAAAACCAAAGCATGAATATGTTACCAGCACACATGGACAGGTTTACAATCTTCTGTTTTTAAAGAACAAATGACAAAAAGCATTCAAGAATATTGCAAATTTTTTTTTTTTAACAGACAAGTAGCAAAACTTTGTACCACCTGGAACAGAACTGCCGAGACAAAGCTCTCCACACATTTTGCTGTAATACTTAAATAAGTAACACCAATGCAAGACCTTTTCTCTTAATGGTTACTAGTGTTCAAGGAATCAGAGGATTATGGAGTTACGTAGGTCTTTGTACCCTGTGAATTACAGTTCCACAGGTGGCACCGAGACACTTCTCACAGCACAGTCACATGGCTTTCACTTTGATTTGCTTCATCTTCATCTGCTTCTTCTCAAGCTTCTTCTGCTCACGCCGCAGAGCAGCTTCCTGTAGGCAAGGACAGGGATGTGAATCAACACAGGCCATCTCTTCAAGGAACAAGCAGATCCTTTCAGAACCAAACAACAAAGCCCTCCAGCACCGCGTTCACAGCTCACCAGGACCCTTCACGTGTTTCAGAAAGGAGCAGCAAATAGAAATCAAAGTTGCCACTGCTACTATAGCTCCAGACAGCCCTGGAGATCTCCTAGGAGGGATCTGCCAGCAGCCTGTACCAACATGGACCTCCCCTCACCTCCAGCCGCCGCTGCTTCTCGGGATCCTCTTCGTTCATGATTCGCTCCTTCTCCGCCCGTTTCTTCTCCTCCCGGCGGGACTGGGCAGCCTCCTGTCTCTGCACGTGAGTCAGCTTGAGGAAATTCTCTTCCACCCGAGCCCTGTTCTTGTCAGCTTTTTGTTTACCCTTTGCACAGAGAAAAGCAAACGCAGTTTGTAGTGATTTCCCCACAAGCAGCACGCAGGATCTCTACCAGCAGTACAGGAACAGAAGGATCCAGTGGATCCGTAAGGAGCCAGGGGTAATGGTTCCAGTGTCACACAATGTCAGAAGACAGAAAACCAGGCACTACTTACTTCTCTGTTCAGCCTGAACTTCTTTGCTTTGTCAATGGAGTAGATAACCATGCTCATCAGAGGCAGCAAAGACTCCATGTCCTTTGGGGAAGTGTTGCCTGAACCAGGCACTGAAATAAAGAGTTCCTTGTTCATTCACACAGACTGGCAGAACTCATCTGCTTGCTGTGATGCTCTTCCCTTATGGCTCACACTGTTCATGAAATAAAGATGCTCTTATTCTGCTCTTTAGGAAGCTTCATTTAGAGCTATAGGCTTCAATTTTGAAGAGATTTGAAGATCTATTCTTTTCTAGAATTCTCCCAACAGACCACTTTTATTTCAAACCCGGGTAAACCAACTGAGCCTGGGCAAGTTCAAACTGCAAGGCTTGTGGTTTAAAAACAAACCACCCTGAGAGGAAGTGTGAGCTTAGGTCAGTAACAGCAAGACTGAGTGTCCTGTTATCGTGACAACATGCCACACAGTCCCCAGTGTATTGCTGCCTTCTGTTTGTCAATCAATGATCCTGCTAAATGCACTGAAATCACTCATCACACATTATCTTCCACAGGTGACAGATAGTGAGCATGTGGCTTACCCAAATAAAGCCACACACTCCCCCAGACACACACAAACAGAGCCCTTACCGTTAAATGTAAACAAAAGTGTCTTTTTAGTTTCGGGCAGTTTTGTAAGCTGGCCCTCCCTGGAGGAAAGAAACAAGTGTTTGGAAAAAGTGAAGAAAAATACAAAGTAACTAACATTGGTCCAAAAATCCATCAAGAACCAAAAGACACTTGGAAAGTACTTGAAAAAAATAAACATTAAAAGCCTGGCTATAAACCAAAGTTAAGTTTCAAACTAATCAGATTCCAGAAGTGTTTTACCCAAAAGCCTGCAGAGAAAAGTCTCTGAGTGTGAAAACATACAGCACCACCCCCTCTAAATGTCAGGAGGCCATGAGAGCACTAAGAAGGCCTGTATATTTTGAATTACATTCAGCTTCACACACCCCCTTGTTGTTTATACCACTAAAGATCTCTAAATATTTTAGGAGAACAAAATATTTTCTCAAGAGTTTAAGTATTCACTGCCCAAAATCCCAGAGTATTCTAATGTGAAAATCTCAGGCCTACATTTCACAGATCCTCAACAATTTTAGTACAAGGTATACACATAAACTGTCTTATAATTGAATCAAACTATGTCCCTTTATGTTCATTTATTTATATGCCTATGAGCATAATACACAGGCACGTGCAAAAACCTACGTGGTAATTCAGATAAGACACATCACCCACCACTTGGCAATTCTGAAGCAGCCCCTGAAAGCACCTCTGGACTAGGAGGCTCAGAGGAACAGCAGAGCTGCTGGCTGTGCATTGCTGAGGCACAGCTGACCACCAGCCCCAAGAGAGCTCAGCCTTTGTACGTACTCTTGCATAAGTTTTGGACCGGAGAACTGGTCCGAGAATTGGACAGAGTCAATCTTGTCAGCGTAGTGTGTGAGGAAATGGATCATCTGAAAGAGAAACGGGGGTTAGTTTTTCCCAACACCAATCCAGCTGCAGCCTAACCACTCCATAGGGGTTTGCCAGGTTCTCTGCCCATGGCAGGGAGCTAGGACTGGATGATTTTTAAGATCCCTTCCAACCAAAACTGTTCTATGGTTCTGTATATCACTCAGGAAATTGCCGTGCCCAGCTTGCCACAGTGACACTGATAAAGACATGAACTTTCCCCTTTAACTTTTCATTTTAACTTTTTTAGAACATACAAGTTGTAAATGCCAGGATTACCAAGGAGTGTTTGTATTCATTCATTCAAGTTTACCTTAGCATCCATCATTCCCTCTGTGACCTCTCCCATCTCTGACAAGATAGCCAGTGAATCTGGAAGCCCATATTTTGCACCAGACTTAGGTTTATCACTGCAGAACTCACTCTGTTTCAAAGAGAATAATGCAAAAGAAAAGCCTGTAAGTTTCTTATCAGACTGAACTGTTCTGGAATAGAGGGACCTCTAAAAGTACCTGAAAAGAAACAATAAAAAATACACCCGTTCACTCATCCTGGCTGGGACATTTCAAACAAAGTAAAGCACACAGCATCAACAGCCTTTAAGCTAGTATTTTCCTTCAGAAGCCAGCATTTTAAGGAAGATAAAACAATTCTAATACATACATACTGGAGTGTTCAAAGTGGATTAAGGCATTTTGCTTACATCGTTTGATAACAGAACAAAAACTGGCATTCTACCAATGACACATCATGCTATTACTTGAGAGAAAAGATTTTTTAAGATTACTTGTTATCACTGGATTCTGGGCAAGCTCTGCAATTTTTTTCATGGCTTGAACATATTGAAAGTTTTAATTTCCGATCATGTAAAAACAGATAACTTAAACCTAAATTTTCCACATCATATAACACTAATTAAGTTTACTTTTCAATCCTTGAATATGTCTTTTGTGCAAAGAAAACGAGGTGAAGTGACACTCATGTTTGGTGACAAAAATCTGCAGCCTCACTTAAACCAACTAACCCCAAAAGAAAGGTGTAAGCTGCTTTCCAGTGCCTCTTTCCCTGCAGGTCTGATGGGGGGAGCACTTCTGATGGTTGATTCCATTAGACTTTTATCTGTAAATGGAAACATCTTTCCCACACAAATTCCAACAGGTCAGTCACATGTTTTCAGCTGTTCCCAAGAAAACAATGAATATGTAGATTAGATTCTTATATGCAATTACTTATCAACGTGCATGTACATACCAGGTCCTGCATCTCTTTCTGAAGTCTCACCAGTGCTTTTCTGGTTCCAACAGCAAACACATACGTGTCCATATCTTCATCATTCATTGTCACTTTTATTTGCTGTGAAACAGAATGTTATTAGCCCTGGTCAGATTTCAGTGTTTGTCTGATGCTTTGATTCCTAAGAACAAGGACTATGTAAGAACAGACACAGCTAAGAAAAAGGTGGTTGATTTAAAGCTTTTCAGTATGTCTTAAAGTAAGGAAGCTTTTTAATTAGACTGAGCACACCATTCAGTATCATGTTGTAATAACAGTGACCAGAACAGCAGAGTTGTAAAAATAATTTGCAATTAAATATTTTGATGTAAGTAAATACAATTACAGATGCATGGGAAGAGTATTGAAAGTGCACAGTCACTGTTCTTCCAAATGTAACCTCTCTTGGCATTTATGCTCTCTAAGAGCAAGTTGGAAGGCAAAAGGTAACATTAAGAATATCCAGACCAACATATGGGTTCAAGCAATCTTATTCAGGCAGACTGCACAGACAGATGAACAATCACTAAGTATTTCAGATTGTAAAACCACTTTTTATCAATATGATGTCTTGAATCATGACAGACTCACAAAATCACTCGAATGATAAAATCCACAGATAAAGCAACTTCCAGTCATCATCAGTTTGCATTTCACAGGCAGGAAAGAAATACAAACAATTCTTTGAGGTTGTTTCAATAGTTACTGAACTGGAAGATATGAAACACTACAGAAATCACCTGGACCAATCAAAAGCAGCAGAGCAGAACTGAGGGAATGCAAGTTTATCAGAGTTAATCCAAAGGGCTGAGTACGCACCACTTGGTCTGACGCCGGCCTCATCATGCGTGCCAGGACATTCAGCAGGTCCTGTCTCTTGAGAAACTGAAAACACAAGGTGGTAAACACAGAAAACAGCTGAAAAGACAACAGTAAAGAACTCCTTCCTAATATCTAACCTGAGTTTTCCCTGTGTGACCAATACAGCTCAAAAGCAGACCCACTTTCTGCATTGGAGGAGTTTCTCAGGGCTTTGTTCCCTCAAGTCAGAACATGAACTGTGGGACTGCTCCAGCCCAGGTCCAGGGCTTTGTATTTGTCTTTGCTGTTCTTCCTTGGAATTCCTGCTGGTCCATGTATCCCTTTAAGTGGCAAATGGGCTCTTCAGCCTACAGTTACCTCTGTTCACACTGCACCTCTGGTTTTCATACTCTTCCTGCAAGCACTTGCTCTTTGGTGCCAGCTTTAAGGGGCAGAATACAGGTCTGTACAGACCTTCAGGTGACCAGTTTCTCCTCATGTGTGTGTACTCAGAACTCTGTGTCTGAAAGTGAGCACAACTGCCAAGCTGGGATTCCATGTTGCCCACACAGGAAAAGAAAAGCCTCTAGAACCTGACAACTGGTGACACGTAAACAGCACCACAAAATTCCCTCATTCTTACCTTTAACTGGATGAGCATTCCTTCACAGCACACCCTTCCAGAGCACCACAAGTTATATATGTGTTCATTTTCTTGATTTAGTTTCCCAGTGCTTGTAGCTTCTTTATTAGTGCCATCATCCCCTGAGGAAAACAACAGTGAAAGAACCTCAATCTAGACTCACAAATTGAGACACCATCGTTCAGCAGAAGGCTTACAGCTCACGATACCACAGCACAGAGAAGGATTCTCTACATCCTAAATGCCAGACTAAACCCAGCTTTATTCAATACTAAAACCAGATCCTTGTCATTATGGAACTCACCAACAAGAGCAAAGTTACTTTCTAGCAGCTCCCTGTGAGTGTTGAACCAAGCATGAGCCAGGCGGTTGTTTTTGTTCTTCCCAATGATGTAGTTCATGATGTAAGCCAGGAGACCTGTTACCATCAGGATCTCCATGTAATAACTCTCCCAGCTGTTTTGAAGGTGAGCAGGGACCTGTGTAAGGGAACAGAAGCTGTGATTTACATATTGAACAAGTGGATTTTGTACACACAAAAATTTGGGAAACACAGAGTAGTGGAGAAGTTCCATCCCCAACACAGCAATAAGCTCCACCAAGGCAACAGCAGAGAGCTAAGCCTACATAAAGCACTTGGCTTACTGGGGCACAGTAATCATACAGGGAACAACTGATAACAGCATTCCCAAAATACCTGCTTAATAGAAAAAAAGTACTCACTTCCAAGTGAGCCTGGGCTAGCACACATGCCTCAGAGTAAACAGTCCAGCACTTCAATTCACTGAGCATTTGAGCTTGATACCCTGCCCATCACAGCATTATCTGATCATCATGTAACTTCTTTGCAAATCCAAACACCCAATGCCCAGGAACATTCTCAGGATGCCAGCAAGAGGAACTCCATGGGGCAGCAGGGAAGCCTTCCTGACCTTGCCACCTCAGAGTCATAAAAGTGCCCAAATGTCAATTTTCACTGCCAAGGTCAGCTATAACACCTAAAGAGAGAACTCAGGGGTAATAAAAAGGCAGACCTTGAGCACCTGATCATTCTGTGAAAGACTATTTTGGGAGGCAAAAAGGTGATGCAGGGTGGGCAGAGAGACTGGCTTGAAAAACCAACTGAGTTGACAAGTTCTAATCTGACACTTAAGCCACAGACAAGCTAAAACCACGCTGTGTTCATTGCTTAGTGACATTCCTGGCATACTGCCTTAAGAAAATAAGTGATGAAACTCCAAACAGACACTGGATCAACAGTTATACCTACATTAACTATTGTTATGGGGTCTTTATTTTTGCTATGAGATGCATCTGGTTTCTCTTCATACCCTTCAAACTCCTCATCATCGTATGGCTCACTTTCGGTGTCACCTTCCTAAAGGATAAAATCACAAACAGCATGAAAATCCAAAGCCCAGCAAGTGAAAGCCAAAAAGAGAAAGAAAGGTGCAGAGACACTATTAGGAAACACATTGAGGAAGGAGGCAAGGCCTTACCTGTGTGTCTGCATCATCAAAGTCTTCCTGATTTTCATCCTGACCTTCAAGCTCTACAGTGGCTTCTTCTTCATCATCTTCTGTAGTGATGATCCTCTGAGGAGATTCTGTGACTGTATCTTCACTCACATCTTCAAACTCAGCAAAGTCATTATCATCATATTCCATAATGTCATCTCCATCCTCAAATTCATCATACTTTGCCAAAGAAAAGCTCCATGGGATGAACAGGACAGCGATAAAAATATATAAATTCTTCATTTTAACTGGAAAAAAAAAATCAATCATTGCAAAAAGTCCTCATCAATTCTGTTACATGACACCTCCAGTAACCCCCAACCCACAGTGCACAATTTGAAAACACTACGAATCAGCCCAGAGAAATAAACCCGTGCCTGATCTTGCCATCTTCTCTATAAAGAAAGTGACCACTGGTACAAGAACAAAATGGCTCTGAAGGAGAGGTTCTGGACTCTTGCTTGTGGCAGCAGCAAATTCACATCTGGCCACACTGTTCACATGAGCTGAGATGGAAAGCAGGGATGTTCTGCTACAAAACTGACTCTCCAATAGCATCTCCCAGCCAGCTCTCTTCCAAGACCACATTCTGTGTCTACAGCTGTTATTAATTAGCAATTAGGCACAGTTGGAGCATTGAATGTGTAACAGCAGCAGTAAATCTTAAAATGCACTTGGTTCATTTAAACAGCAATGCTCTGATAGCCTCTGCTAGTCCTAAAGTGCTCGTCTGTGATTTTCTAGGCTGCACACTCAAAACTAACTTCCCACAGTGTCCCCTCATGATTTCTGCATAGACACAAAGACCTTTTGCTGGAAACTGTGCCAAATAAAAAAAGGAAGAGGAGAGATATGGCACTGCTGTCCAGAACAAAGGAGTAAACTGGGGCTTACGAGCCCAGAGCTCTCCCCACATCAGCCAGAACCCTGCAGAGTTTGTCAGTTCCCCTTGTTTTGCCCTCAGCTTCCTGTCTCTTCTGCTTGAGTTCAAAACAGTCCCAACATCCCCTTCAGACTGGAGCACCTTCTCCAAGGTCCAAAAAAGGCAGCAACAACCCCCCAGCTGCACTTCACAACCAGGCACAGAGGATCAGCTGCATCAGGCTCATTTTACTCCCTCCCGCAACCAGATCCGAGTGGGAACCTGAATGTTAATCAGTGTGTTCTCTCACAAACTTAGAATAGAAATGATTTGTTTCTAAATTTGACCAGCATTCCTCTGAGTGCCTTATGCAGGGAACCCACTGCTATGAATGACAAGGACGACTAAAATAAACACCTTTGTCAAACACTCCTCACTCCAGCAAAAACCCGCACAGAACATGGTCACAGAACCTTAATCAGGATGGAAAGTTCAGCAAGGCCGAGCCCAGGAATTTGGAACATCACAATTTTATGTGAATTTAAGCAGAAAAAAAACCTCAAAATACTATTTCAATAGGACAGAATTTAACACGCTGTAAAAAATGACAGGACAACAGAGCCACCTGCTCGACCAAACTCTAACACTTCACATTAAGAATTCCAAGACTATTTGAGCACATCCACCTTCAGAAGACCCAACAATTCCAAACAGCTTGATGCAAAATAAACTTCTGCAGCCAATTCGAAGGATACAGTTGAACCAGAGGTGGGTGAGAGCTGGAGCACCCCCTTAGGTCAGCAATCTGTCAGAATGGCTTCCAAATTCAAGTTCCAGGAAGCAGAATATCCTCGGCAAGCCCTGCACCACCCACTCGCCACCGACTTTCCCTTGCCAGAGGAACCGATTCACTCTCCCATCTCCACACCGGCTGCCCAGACCCCACTGGCAAGAGAAACTACTCCCAACAATCCCACGGCAAGCACTGCTGCTGCTGCCTGTGCTGAGCATTCACCAGCTCGGGCTTGCTCGGTAGATCTCGAGCCTAGACCCGAGCTCGGTGGCCGATTTTGGAGAAGCGCCAGTCCGCAGCAGGTCGGGCCCTGACGGTGACCCCCGCCCGAAGCGGGGACACCACCCTCGGTGTTCGTTATCCCGCCGCTCCCAGCTCCTTCCCGGTACACGAGTCAAGGTTAACAAGATAAAACCAGCGATCTGCCGCCCCCGGCCCCGCCGCCAGCTCCTCCCGCCCCGCGGGGCGCAGCACAGGCCGCGCACGCCCGGTGCCCTCGGCGCCAGGCTGCCCCTCCCGGGGACCCTGCCGGTACCGAGCTCCCCGGAGGCAGCGAGCCCCGCCCGGCAGCCCTGGGGAGGTGGGAGCGGGGTGTCCCGTGCGGCGGGGCCGCGGGGGCCGGGGCAGCGTTACCTGAGTCACGGGCCCGGCCCCCGCCCTCCGCTCCGCTCCGCTCCGCGCCCGCCGTACCGGGGCGCCTGCGCAGTGCGGGCCCCGCCGCATGTGCGGGGGTGTGCGGGTACACACGCGTGAGGGGGGGGACGAGCCCAGCCCTGCGGCGCGAGAACCACCCGAGAACCACCAGGAAAGCAGCGCGGTCCCGGGGCCGCCGCTGACGTTACCGTCTCTCGGTTTCGCTGCCGGGGTCCCGCTCCCGCCTTTGCCCGCTCCCACCGCCCTCACTTCCCGCTGCTTCACCTGCGGCCGGTGCGCGTGCGCCGGGGCACGCGCAGCCGCCGCGCGTCACTCACGCACAGTGCGTGGGCACGTCGGTGCGTGCGTCCCCACCCCCCGCCCCGGTAACCGGGGAAGTGGCGGCGGCGGCGGCTGCGGTGAGTGCGGGGGCCTGAGGGAGGGGAGCGGGGCCGGCCTGGGCACGGCGGCGGATCCTCCCTCGCCGGCCTGCGGGGCCTATCGCTGGCGGCACCCGCCGTAGCCGCGGCCTGGAGCGGGCGCGGGCAGCCGGGGCCTGCCCCGCACAAAGGGCCCGCCCCGCACCGCGGTTCCGCGGGCGGGAAGGGCCCCGCGCAGGGCCCGGTGTGCCGGGACAGCGCCTGCCCGTGGCTTTACCCCCCCGCCCCGCTTCGTGCCGTGCCCTGCGGTGGGCGATCCCGGCGGGCGCGGGTCCCCCCGCCCTTCCCCGTGGAACGGGAGCGGCCGGGGCGCATCGCGGCCGTGCCCGCGGATCTCGGCGCCGCAGGCGGGGTCCGTGCCCCGTGAGTTTCCTCCCGCCGAACGGCGGCCACAGGGCAGCGAAGGCCCCGGGGTTTTCCTGCGGTCTCTGCGTCCTGTGGGAACCTCTCCCTGTTCGCTCGCTGCTGGCGAGTGGGCGAGCTGACCGTGGTTTGGACTTTTGCTGCTGTGTGACAATAAAAAAGCGCTCCGCCTTATTTTTTGAGGTAGCGGAAGGGAGAAAAAGGTGGATAAGTACAGCGAGGAAGGATTCTTACAATCAGATTTTAACCTGACAGTTTTCAAAGATTCCCACTGTGCTGTCACAGCAGAAATGCGGTTCCACCTCTCACCCCTCTGTTGTGCTTTTTCATCTGCCAGTGCCACGGATCCGCAGGTGTAAAAGCTACAGGGTGTCAAGACAAGAGGGACAACAGAACTCCATGGTCAGCTGCTGCCGTGGAGAGCTGAACAGCAGGGTTTCCCCCAAAAATCTACTACTGAGCTTTGGTCTCAGATTTATTGAGCGAGCCCCAAGCTGGTAAATGTTCAGCGCAGGGACCGGCTGCACTATTTACCTTCAGATTGTTTTGAAGGTGTTTTTTTGCCACTGAGTTCTGATCTCGTGGAAGATTGTCAGTGTGAGGATTTGTTTAATAAGACTGGCAGCCTTTGGACAGTCAGTTATAATGCATTGGAAAGCAGTGGGTGTCTTGCTGTCTTTGCTGCCTTATGATTTGCTTGACCATGCAGCTAACTAAATGATTCAAGAATGGAAACTGTAAATATTATATTAATATATAATAATACCAGTTCAGTCATTGTCTTAGAAAATCAAGATTTGGGCAGACACTGTTATGTGGAGTGTTTGAAATATTGTTTGAAAAACAGAGGTGAGGGGGCATAGAAATGTGTATCTATATACAAATGGAGATTGTGTGTATCTGAAGGTGGTTTGAGAGGCAAAGACAGCTGGCTTTTGGCAGAGATGTGCCTGGGCTCACACAGGGCCTTGTGCTGCTCTGGGCCCATTTCTCTGGGTTCAGGAGTGAGGTATTGACAGGCCATGAAACATTTACAGATGGGACAATGTGGGCATGCAAAATATGCACTGAGCTGCCTTTTCATCTCTTGTTCCTCCTGGTGTTCAAAGTTCTGGCCTTGGGTTTGTTTGTCTTAGACTGCAAACAGGACAGGTGACATCTTAAATGGGTTTAAGTAATCCTTGAAGGACATGACCTGTTCTGGAAGACAACCACTTTGTTTTTATTCTTCTTTGGAATTGTGGCTACGTTCATACCACTGACAAAAGACCAGAACCCCATCCTTTTTGGGAAACAGATTAAACTCTTGTCACTCAGAGTTCCACAAGCCCCTGTGTCATGACTGAAGTGATCAACTAACAAGAAGAATCATGACAATTACCTACAACTGCCTGACTCAGAGCATTAATTTGTCTTTTCTTGCTTTAACAGGTACATCGGGGACATCATGAATTGGAATAAAGGTGGACCTGGCACGAAGAGAGGCTTTGGGTTTGGTGGCTTTGCCATAACACCTGGCAAGAAAGAGGAGCCCAAGCTGTCCCAGCAGTCCCACAGTGCTTTTGGCACCGCCGGCTCCTCGGCAGCGTTCGCGAAATCGGGGCCTCCTCAGCTGCCTTCCTTCTACAAAATTGGGTCAAAGAGAGCCAATTTTGATGAGGAGAATGCGTAAGTACAGTCACTTCTTGTGTTTATGTAGCTCTAGATTTTAATGGGTTTGTGTTTCTGAGGCTGGGGGAAGTATATGTGACATTTATATAAATAAATATGCAATAAAGTACTTAGAAGACTGTGAGATGCTATGGTAGCCTGCAGAAGCTTTCCTCCCCCAGCTTTCCCCTTTTGAGGACATATTTTATTCACTTTGGTCTTCTCAGAGTTGGAGCCAAGTAGGATAAATTTGGGTGTCTTTTGCCCAGGAAAACATTACTCTCCACAGTTCTTTACTAACCCTTCTCTTGGCTGCATAAATGTATAAATAAGGCAGAGAAAGTTGGGATTATTCAGCCTGGAGAAGTTTGGGGCCGATCTAATTGTGTCCCTTCCAGTACCTAAAGGGAGCCTACAAGAAAGATGAAGACAGACTCGATTTTATGATATCTCTTTGCCTTGCCATCACTTTGAAGTTTTAACATGAAAAATTGTAAATACATCAACCTCAACATCTTCTATTGTCCACGTGGGTACCTTGACTCAACCAGAAACCATGAAAGACAGCACAGTGCTGTAAACCATGTGCTGATGGGCTGTTGTTCCCTTTTTTTTCAGGTACTTTGAGGATGAAGAGGAAGATTCCAGCAATGTGGAATTGCCCTACATTCCCGCAGAGAATTCCCCCACTCGGCAGCAGTTCCATTCCAAATCAGCAGACTCTGACAGCGATGATGATCCTCTGGAGGCATTCATGGCTGAAGTGGAGGCAAGAGCCAGCTTGGGGAATGTTTATTCATTGCTGTGGTTGTCCCTGTGTGCAGTCAGGGGCAGCAAATGCCACTCAGGGCTTTGGCAGCTGCAGTCAAAATGCCACTTAACTTTGGGGTTTATGGAGGATGGTGTTAGTTAGACCTCAAAAATGGATTAAATAGACAGAGAGTGGATGTGACTTACAATAGCTTAACTATTTAACTGCTTTGAGGATGTCAGAACAATACAACATAGAGCTCTGCTTGTTTCTGAATCTCAAACTAAGGTTTTCTATGTTTTTCACTACCTAAATGGAAATTGTTTGTGTTTATGATGAGCTGATTTTTAGCTACAGTTCAATTATTAGTTGGATTCAGGAGGAATATGGGGAATTTATTTTTTTCAATAGCACTGTCACAAGCTTAGAGTAGTATATAAACTCAAAGGTACTAGTAGAAGAATTTATTTAGCATAATCAGATACAGAACAAGACAAAGATCAGTCCAAGTAGTGTTTTCTCTGTGACATAATGGCTTAATTATTCAGGAGCATTTTTCCCTTCCATGTTTTACCACCTTGGTCTTTTTAACATGTGACAACTTTATGACCTGCCAGGATCAAGCTGCTCGAGACATGAAGAGACTCGAAGATAAAGACAAAGAAAAAAAGAATGTTAAGTAAGTTCTCTTTTATCACTCCCATGCCTGCCTGTGTCTTGTATGGTGCTCAGAGAATTCCTGTGCATTTTGTTGATGATGGCTGTTCATTAGGCAGTGTAGCATCATTAACATCTCATTAGCATGAGATGCTGTGGGTAACAATTTGTGCTGTAAAAATAGGATAATAGGGAAGAATCCATGGCAGCATCCCATGGCAGGCTGCAACAATACTGTGAGTTATTCCATGCCAGAAGCCTTTCTAGGTCACAGAAATCGGGGCAACACGTTGTACTCTGCCACTTTCCAGATCAGCCTGGGTAGTTTTTCTGCTTCCCACACCCTTGGAGAGATCAGAATGATTTAGCTTAAAATTGCATTTATGTGAGCAAAATAAGTCAGTGCTGCTGTACCTGGACTGCTGGAAACTCTTCTAAACTTGGACTAGGTTTTAGACATTAAAGCTGATAGATTAGGTAGCACATGATGATGGGGGTACTACATTTGGAGTTTAAAACAGTTTAAATTCTTGCAGCTTATCTATTTGTTTTGATTAAGGAAAACAATTATGCTGTTGATTCTTGATAGAAATGTCAGATATATTGGTAGAAGTTACATTGCATGGGGTTGATCAGATTATACATGGTCCTGACGCAGAACATCAGATCCAAATCAGCACCTGGGGAAGTTCTGAACTGGATTTGCACTTCCTGGCTCACATTCCTCTTCAGTTATGGGACTTCTGTAGCATCAAGAGCTTAGACCAGGGTGATCTTTGATGTGGCTTCTGCTGGGAAGATGGAATCCTAATCTTTCAGTCTCAGTACTAGAAGTAAAGAAAAGTCTTTGCAGGGTCACTGCTATGGTTGGCACCAGATATGAAAACTCCATGGGCTGGGAATATAAATGTTGCCAGGTTGATAGTGTTGTGTCTTCCACAAAATCTGGAGCTCAGCACTAATCAAATGAAACTATTGAGCTGAGTCTGTGGAACACTTGCAGGGAAGTTTTTCTCCGCTTGTTTTTCCAGGGGTATTCGAGATGACATTGAAGAGGAAGATGACCAAGTGAGTTCCTATGCAGTCTTTCTATCTTCTTTTTTGTTGTTTTGTAATTTTTTAACTTTCCCTCTCCAAACACCTAACTGCTAGGGACAAACAAAATTCCGGTGTCATGTGCAGTATCTGGACAATTCAGCAGGAAGCTGTAGTGGTTACCCTGCTGTCTCTACCCTTCCAGGTGTTTTAAGAAGAATATTAGACAATTGCATTCACTGA